AAAAAAATACACATCCACACAACTGCAACTGCTATGATTCATTTTGTAGAAAAACAAAAACGTTACAGTGTTTGTTGGTAGCTACAAGGGGAATGTTTAGTTTTCAGTGTTTGGAAGATAAAGCTCTTTTCCACAGGGACCTTGTTTTGAAGCTGCTTGTATTCAATACTGAAAAAGCAGTAGAAATATCTGCTGTGGTAATTATTGCAAGGTCTGTTTCAGTGCTGAATGGAGGCCAAGGAACAGATTCCTGTGAAAGAACTGAAACTGAGCAGAAAAAGAACAGCAGGGCTCAGAAGGAACAGCATCAGATTAACTAAATTCACCCATGGAAACTTTCCCTCATTGGAACTGACTGTGTTAGCAATGCATACCTATTTTCTGGGATTCCCAGCTCTTTGCCCATGTGTAGGTCAAAACCAGGTGGTGGAAATTAGGAATAGAACAAACTCCCTCTTGCTGCTTTGCACTTAATGTTCTAGCATTAAAAGGAATGATTTATGTTATTTTATAAAATAACAAAGAAGCATCATTAGTGCTCAGGTCTTATCTATGGGAGACAGGGCAGAAAGTGCTCCTGGGAGGTTGGCTAAATTAATCCTGATTTAGACAAGCTTAAAGAATGAATAAATCAACTATGTCTGCATTTCATGAACAATGAATGGAATTGGGATTTCATACCAGCATAGAGTAGGTCTAAACTTATGGGTATATACATTTTTTGCTTTATATTGAGTCTCAGGAATTCGTAGAAAATGTTGTAGTCAATCCTATCAAAGGGCTGTCATAAAACTGAAGCCACAGATAATATAATAGATTAAAAAGCACCAGTTCACTAGAATGCCTCTACTACGCCATCTGAATGCCTCTACTACGCCATCTCTACCATTCCATCTTATCTTTCCTATTTTTCTAGGTAGTTGAACATCCTCCCAAACAAAGCAAGGAGCTGGGCCTCAAGGGAATAGGATCCCTCTAGATTAGAGGGGTGTAAATCTGGCAGCCTGTGGAATGGATGCGTCATGTGCAGGTCACACCCATCCCAGCTCTGCGAATGGGAAAAACATCATGAAATGTCACGACGGGTAACGTGAGACCGATACTTTGACATCTGTATTCTAGAATGTAGAGGCATCTGTGGAAATAACTGTGCTGCTAGTGGTGTTCCCCAACTTTTACTGCTTTTAAAGCTTTTTAGATGCTAGACTTCAAGTGGAACATGAAATTTGGCAGGCACAAATTTGGCAGAAAGAATTTACGGGCATATTAGTGCCTTTATATACCATGGTACAGATCGGGTTCTGGAGTCAAAGCAATATGTATATAAATCAACATTAATATAAATTACTTCAAATTTCATCATCTGGTTCTTGATATGCACCATGTAATCTTAGGTAAGTCAGCTTTAAGCAGATTTTAGCCATCAAAGATTTTCTCTAAAGAGCCATGAAGAGTATTTTCAGAATTCCAGTAATTCTTAGCAATTCTTAGCCCCCTTTTATAGAAGTATCAGGTTATTTGTTTAGTAATCATAGTAGATGAATACATTTGGATCTTACTTTGTAATACAAGTATGACGCACTGTATGGGATTCAATTTGGACAGTGGGTCCTTTATGCTGTGTTTAATCAAGAAAGAGATTAACGCAATAGGGAGTTATAGGGGAGCTATTTTAACTGTTGTAGCAAGAATACTTTAATAAAGAGATTTGGGCATATCAGAAGGACAAACAGATTGTTTTGCCACAAAGGTTTTATTGGCTACTGTTCACATTATCAGATGCATGAAGTGATCCTCAGCCGGCTTGACAGCTTATACTATAATAAATCTGCCGCAAAACTTTCTGCTGTTAAAAGTTCAGGGCTACATCTTAAATATTACCTATTGCAAACCAGTGGAAACATACTGTATACCTTATTTCTGTATAAAATAATGAAAACTACTTTCCTCAATTTAGGAAATGTGTTTTTACATCTTTATTTTACTCTCTGGCAACATACATTTTCCAACTAGATTTGGAAAATCAAATATTTGTAAGGAAAAAATGTGAAACAATGATAACAGGTGATGTTTACAGCAACTCCAAGATGGCTTCTTGTCATTCCCAGGGAAACCAATGTTCAATTCCAGAAGGGATTTCTTGGAGCCTGTCAGCTGGCAGAGTGGGTGGATGTCAAATGTTAACACTTTGACATATTTGGAGTCCAGCATGTCATAAAATGACTTAGGTTTGAATTAATCTCAGCCACCTGCCACCATGAAAATGGCTCGATGTTCATACACACAGCAAACGATTTGATCAATTCTTGGGTGTTGTTTTCACTATCCTTCCTAATTTCTCTATACGGCCTTATAAATTTGGTGCCAGCAGAACTGTGATTTTGTACGATGCACAGGTTAATAGTGACATCGAGTGACTGCAGCCAAATAGCCGCCACATGTATAGCTATGCAGGAAGAGGAAGTTATAATTTTGCACAGTGCATCAAACAATATTTACCAGCAGGAGGGGAAAAATAATCTGACAACTGATGGAAATGCAGAGATATATAAATAGCAGGGTGCTCCTAGCAGGCACCTGGAATTTCAAAGTTTGTACAGCCAGTACTGAAAGCTCCAAGAGATCATGCAGGGATACACTACCCCAAGACCCAAACAAATGAGAATTCCCTCCCTGTCAGATGTTCTAAATGAATTAGTTAAGCACTGGTGCCCTGGCTTTCAAGCATCTTAAAGAGAACAGCTGCCCGCACAGCAGGGTTTCCCTTGGCAATTTGCTGCCTAGTTATTTGGTATCTTTACTGTGCCTTCCAAGTGTTCAGAGTATGTGCTATTTGGGTGGAGAAATACTGCATGCCAGCACTGATTGTCTTGGATCTCCAATTTCTCTGACTGTGCTTCCGTTGAGTGCCCTAATGCAAGAAATGAATGAATCCAAATCTTGAGTGTAAGGATCATGCTGAAGGATGGATCTGCTTTTGGGCCATCTGAGATCCAGGTGCAAGGTCTGATTCATTCATTTTACTGTATGAAGCACCTGGCTCAGGTACACCTGCCGTCTTCTCACTTCTTGATCCAATTGCTCTTTCAGAGAATTCACCTGCAAAAACATAAACATAGGCAAAGATAAATACCAATACATAATTTATTTCAGAGTTCTGACTTCAATTGTAACCAGTATCAGGCTCATCAGAGTAGCATAAAGAGTTTCTGGGACAAATCATCCTTCTTGCTACATTCTTCTAGTGCAGTGTTTCTCAACCTTGGCGACTTTAAGTCCTGGGGACTTCAATTCCCAGAATTCCCCAGCCAGCTGTGCTGGTTGGGGGATTCTGAGAGTTGAAGTCCCCAGGACTTAAAGTCACCAAGGTTGAGAAACACTGTTCTAGTGTTTAAAGTTTTCTGATTTTGACCTAACAAACCTGGTAAGTATTAAAACTGAGACATAGCAACTAGGCCATAGTTACTGTGTGTGCTTCATGATCATAATGAGGATTTAGATTCAGTTCTCACTGGCCTAAACACTTCATCTTCACATTCGTTCAGTTTCCAGAAATCAAAATTGTAGAGACGGCATAAGCACTATCTTCAATTGTTTAATTAACATCCTTAATTGTTTTCTACAACTTCATCCCATCCTTTCTACACTTCTAAAAATTAT